ATCCCCGAAATGACGTAGTTGCATCAAGCAGTATTAGACAGGCACGATCACGTGTACTATATTTGGAATTCGAAATCAAGCATTCAACAAGTATAAAGGAATCATTAGTTCTTTCAAGCATCACACCGTCATATTTTATCAAACATGAATGATAGTTTATTACGACGTTTAGCTGGTATATATAATTCGTAAGGTTTACTAAACCTGTACGTTTTAAGAGGTACACAGGAATCTAAACAAGAATTAACGATCAGACAGAATTCATGAGACTATTACATGAAAAAAAGTTGTCCCAGTCTGAAAGTTTAATCAGTGAATGCAGGAGGTTCCAGTCAGTAAGCTTATAGTCTCTATATTGACAGTTTTTTTGAATGGGTCGGTTATAAGAGGAAAAGATAGGGACATCACAAATTACTATCTTATGGTCACTGCTTTCAAATTCATCGTATACTTTTACAGTTAGTGGGATAAAATCTCTACTAAATATTAGATCGAGTATACTATCGCCTCTAGTTGGGGTACGAACCCACCGTGACCAGCAGTGCATGTTAATGGTTGCCGAGAACTCATCATTACATGACTGATAACTACCGGTACTCCAGTTAATCCCAGGATGATTGAAATCCCCAGTGATAACCTTAGGATTAAAGTTTAGAGAAAATACATGTATTAATGCATCGAACTGGATGTCAAGTTTTGAAGCACACAATTAGCACAGCAAGAAAAGTCAGAAATAAAACGAGAACAATGTTGAGGAGAACCCACTAGTCAACATAGTTCTGTAAAATGTTCCAGAGATGATTCATTTGTCATCGGAGCTAGTCGCTTCGTATCCGGTTTAAAAGCGTTACCATCAACTAGGTATCCAAGACATTCAAAACTTGATACACAAAATGAACTCTTATTTTGATTCACGGTATTATTCTTCTCAATTAAACGACGCAGCAATGCAATAAGTCTTTGACCATGAGATACTTTTTCAGAACCATGAATAATAAGATCATCTCGATAAACCTTAGCATCTTTAAGACCACTGACTACATTACTCATCACTTCTTGAAATATGGCTGGAGAAGAATTGAAACCAGAAGGAAGTTGTATTTTAATGAACCAAAAGAAGTATTAATCTCTGCCAAAATAGACGAACATTTATCCGAGGAAATTTGAGTATAAACATCTTTTAAATCAGTTTTGAAGGATACTTCAGAGCAATAAAGCCGATTAAAAATATATATAACTTCCACCATGGTTCATGTTTACTTCAACTAACTTGAGTTCAGTGTTAATATATAATCAAAGCATATTCTAGGGGTCTTGCCAGCAGACTTCGAGGAGTAAAAATAAGAGTATCTCATGTTGAAGACTGAATCTGTTCAGTCATAATTTTCGCAGGCAAATCATTTAATGTCTTAAGTACTGCTTCTCGAAGACCATAGCGAGTTATTTGTCTTTTATGAAAGACTGGATCACCCTGTAGTTGTAGTTCTATAGGCTGAGTTCTCGTTTCTCCACTGCAGTTATCAAACCTCTAAGTATAGTATTACTATCTTCTTTGAAAGCATATAAATACAACTCCGCTTTGAGCTTTTTCGAATTCTCCAAACTTAGTATTAGTGGTCATTTTTCACCCACTTGAAACTATCAAGGCATGTATGAATAATTCATCTTTAATTAGCAATTCGCAGCATACTTGTATGAGGAGGTTTGAGTTCAATACTGATACTTTAATGGGTTGTACTGAAACATTAGAATCTAAAGACTTTAGGTTTTTCAAATGAAACAATAAACTCTATTGACTATCCCAACAATAAAATCATGGAATGGACCAAACGAAGTATATTTCGGCGTCTGAATGTGGAAAGTACCCTTCGAAATCGTTTATAATGATAATCTATGATCATTAGAAACAACCATACCAATAGGATCCGAACTAGAAAGCTTACTAGTGGTGAAATGAACATTTGTTCTATACACCGGCCTAATGTTTCCAATTTACCACACTTAAAGCATTTAGCATGACAAATGATGAATTATTTGTGTGAAAACGACCACAAGATAAACATTTACCAAATATGTCCCCATCTTTGTAAACTGCTTTGCAATTCTTTGTTTAATCGTTTCTCATATTTTCATGAGAATCGAAACCATAACCAACCAAACACGAGCTTGAGAGACCTCGAGAATGTAATTTATCACGACAACTAAAAATAGTATCAGAAATCTCCCCTGACTGGAAATCAAACACATTCACTGCGTTGTAGTTAATACATTCTGTTTAAATTACCTGTAACGAACTTTTAGATTTTTGAATGGATTCTCTTTCCAACCTCGGAATATTATTTCAGTGATCAACCGATCACGAAGTTGAATTTCCAACTGGTCTCCGAAGTTTCGATTCACAGTCTGTTTCTGTAGTTCAAGTATGAAATCTTCAACTTTCTGATCATTCAGTCGCATCATTTTCCGAAATCTTGATCTCTCTCTCTCTCTTAGTTCAAGGCCAACATGCTTCACATGACTAAGAAGTAATTACTTGAGAAATTCATATGACAATAGAATTATTTTGTCTGGAAAAGCTAGATTCCTTAACGGGTTATAAGCATATTTGTCGGTGAATGTCAGCAAATAAGCTGCGAACTTACGATCTTTAATGTCTTCTTAACACGTGCACCAGATCCTAAATCTCTTCATGTAATCTTCAGAGACAGAACCAGTTAAATTAATGGCGACTGTCCAAGAACTGGGTCAATTACGACACCAATTCGATCATTAGAAATAATCGTAAAGATATGCTAACTAAGAACTAACAGAATACTGGGACGGATAGAAATTGATGAGCACAACAGAATGTATTATTTTTAGAATTGAAACTGGTAGCGAAACAAAGTACAAACGAATCATCCACTGTTATAAATACCATAAAAATCTCACCATCTATTACAAAAGCTATTTTCCATGTTTCTATTGTGTTGCCTACATGTTGGTTCATAAATATATTTTTGATGGGCACATTGTATTACTGTTTTGATACACGTTTGTTAACCTAATTGTTATTATTATTATTAATATTATTGCTATCATTACTGCTGATATTACCACATAAAAATTCAAAATGTCAGGAAAAATTTGAAGGATAGAACAGTTTGAATGGACTCATCATGATGTCTGGCTTTTTTGAATCTCGCTGATTGATAATGAACTGTGCCAACGGTGGTTCACCTATGGATGCATAGATATGTTGTGAAAACAAGTCTAAAATTTCTCACTATTTTACTCCTTACCTGTTGACTGTGAGAAATATCATGCAATACAGTGGCATCCAATTGTGTAAGTTGATTTACATCAGGTCTACTCCAACTACAAGGTCGTTAAGTGAAACTTCATATCCACTACGTAAATATTTTGCTGATTAAATCTTCGAGATCAAAGATGATACACCCACTTTTCATTGGGCCTCCATAAGAATCCCACAAGATAAATGCCCAACAGTTGTTGTGCCATTGTTAATATGAAGCTAGAATAAATATTAATGTTGCTTACAATTGACGATGTAGATATTTCTAAATGTAATATGTACTCTGATAGTCACTGATGCACAGGTAAGTGAAGAAGAGAGGAGACTATCATGAACACGCTAAAACGTAATGCATATAATGTAAATGAAATGGAGATTTATGTATGCAGCTTCACTGATTGAAAGCAACATGAAATGAAGATAAGTTACATGTTTATCTCGTCACACTTAATGGATATGGCACTTTTAGTTTGGTAAGAAAGTCATGAGCGCATTTCTCTATCATATGGATGTGTATAAGGATGATCACTGAGTCATGTGAATGCGGAGAGTGACGTTACACACGACAATCGACTGATAATTCAAGATGATGACAAGATCGTAAATTTTATACTTGAAATCTAAAGACAAAAGCAGGAAATTTTCGTCGCAGAATTCTGTTTGCTCTTATTTAAAAAAGTGTATACCATAGATAGACAGCAGGTTCAGATACATTATATCATAAACATAATCATATTCATTGATGATGATAAACACATACCATCAATGACTCGTGCAAAGCTTTCACGGAAACACGTTTCAGTTTGTAAGAACACCATTCAAAACACAGTGCTCAAAGATTCTTCAGGTAGTGTAAATGTATTGTGTGAGTGATGTGAATAGAGAAATACAGAAAAAAAAGACGAACAACGGTAACCATTTTTGTAAACAATGTTTCACTGAATTCAAACACCGTATAATACTAACATTTGATTTTATCGCTCTATTCCATAAATGAAAAGCTATTGTTTGGTGTACTATTTACTCCCATAGTCTTTTGCATTATAAATTATTGTAATTTAAAGGCAACATTTTCTACTCAAAATTTCTAATGTCATGCATAGTTTCGACGAAATTGTAATATTCTATTTCATTATGCGTTATGGTCACTCATTCACACATTTGTTTTAAAGTAAATTTCAGTCAGGAATGAATCAAGTGGTGCTCCAGTCGGCTCGCTTTCTCTCTCTGTCTCTTTCCTACTTGCCAGCCAATGAGGTGATAAGATGATATCCCTCTCTCTGACCACGAAACCGTTTAGCCACAAATTGAACTCATACATCTATACCCTCAAAGTTGGACTAGTTAGCTTATCGTGTCAAAGCCTCAGACTAGATCGAGATAAGTTTTCACCTGAACGTTATTGTGCAGACGGAACAAGGAAATAACAGTGGGCAACAATGTTGGTGTGCATTGTGTCGCATCAACAATAGATTATGTTCATAAAAAAATATACCTCTGAAACGACATCTATACAAAATACTGGAAACACGAAAAATTACTTTCGCGGCAAGTGACAATGAATGAATTGGATTGCAAACCCATTTCTTGAGACCATCGAAATTCCTATACAATAAACACTGAATAAGACAAACAAGCAAACATCGCATTCTGTCAATCAATCCGTGAATTGATTTCACTGAATGTTTCACTCAATCAAAGTGACATGACACTTTCTACCACCAATCAAACATCACAATGTCAGTAACGATTTGTTGAAGACCAGGATTCAATTGGTTGACCGACAAATAGACAACTCCACAAACGTATAAATTCTAGTCCACAACTCACTGGAACATCAGAAATCACCGAACGTACAAATGCAAAGAACATTGGTGAGGCATTCATTCGTCTAACCAGCTAAAACTCTCTCTCTTTCTCTCTCTCCCACACACAGGTGACAGTATTGACTTTCGCATTCGTTGTGAACTATCTGGATGTGGTGAATTGTGATGGAGGTGAGTTTCACACCAACAGACACGGACCACTTTCACTCACTCACTCACTCACTCACTCACTCACTCACTCACTCATTCATTCATTCATCCGACTAGTCATTCATCAAACTATTCATCCATTTATCCCTCCATCCGTCCATCCATCACTCCGATGATTCATTCATCCATTCATTCACCATTTCATTCATTCATTCATTCATTCACTGAATCACTCACTCACTCACTTGCTCACCTACTTACTTAATTACTCTGTAAGTTGTTCCGACAACAGTGCAATCGATCACAGCCAACTCACACAATTCAAACCATGTGCGTCGGAGCATCGAGCATCAGTGTATTTCGCAGCTGACAATCGTACGAACGTTCTGTCACTCACATCATGAGAACATTCGCCTCAATTCTCACTTTCCCTGTCATTATTGACAACCAAGTCAGTCAGATAGGCAGTTGGTCAGTTAGGCAGTGAGTGGTACCGATCAAGTCAGTCGTCGATTTGCACACACCTGGTGGAGACGCGAACTGAATCAGACTGCTGCAATTGAAATTAACTTAACTTAACTTAAACCGACAACACATTGTTTCGTTACTGTTTTTCAATGCAGATGGCGCACCCTCAGCTCCAGTCAAATCACCTGATCAGCAACCAGCTGCACCAGCCGCATCGGATTCACCTGCAGCACCAGACAAACCAGCAGCAGCTTCAGCGAAACCAGGTCAGTCCATTCACTCTCTTCACTAATGATGTGCATTGAATTTTGTGTTGGAATGTTTTTCCTATGTGCATCACTCGAATTGTGTGTTTCCGTGTTCAGACTGTGAACAGTGCACTTGTGTACTCTGATTTTACTCCACAGATTCGCCTGCCACCGCCAAGTCAACCGCACGTCCGAAACCATCGAAGAGAGCACAGAGACCAGCCTACCCACCCAGATCACCAGCACGTGTTCGTAGTAAGTCAACACTACACCAACCACTTCTATTCCTTATCTCCGTTTATTTCAACAATCTTGACCATTTCGACACACCAGTCATTCTTCCGAACACACTTACACACATACACACGCATGTGCACATACAAACATTCGCCGACACATTCACTCACTCTACAGCCAGATTACATACTCAATCAATCACCCAGTCGCTCACTAACGTTTACTACACCATCAGTCCTCACACTTACCCGTTGAATGCTATCACACATTTGTTCCATGTCACACAAACAACCATTCACTAACTCACGCACCCACCCACTCACTCACCCACTCACTCCACTACAATTGCCACGTAATCTACCGAGTTTGTGACTGACCAACATCCTCTGTTTCACTTGTTTTCAGGTCCTCGCGCTCCAACACATCCGAGAAAATACTAACGTCCACAACGAGGTAAGTCTGCCAACAAACACCCATCACTCTCCACTCTAATATCAAACATCTGATAACTGATTGGAGAATTCACTGTCTTGTGGGTGTGTGATTGAGTGACTGAGTAAATGAATGAATGTGTGTGTGCGTGTGTTCACTGACTGTCACCAATCCATCCCACCACTCGTGCAGATTGTTGTCCTATGTGGCGATGTATGTGGTGCTTATTCCTGTTGGGTCACCGTCTCGATTCTCTATGTGCTGTGAGGAGTGCATTGGGAAGTGTCAGCTGGTCGTTCATCTCATCAATTTCAAACACTCTCGTTTGGAACACTTCACCAATCGCTCATTCATCCATTTATTTATTAATTAATTAATTTATTTATTCAGTCAGTCGGTCGGTCGATCAGTCAGTCAGTCAGTCAGTCAGTCATTAGACCGACTAACTAGTGTGTTCACTCACCCATATTTACTTACATACTTCTACTTACAGTCAGTATGTTAAATCAGCTCCTCTTCAACCTTCTCATCATGTTTGTGTTCATTTCATTTACCTTTTAGATGGTAGAAAATCGGTACAGGTATGAGTTGAACGCAGCCAATGTGTTCAACGACAATTCCCTCACTTTTACATATATGTAACGAATGATAACCGAATAAAATGTTAGGATTCAAACCTTGTCTTTTTGCGTTAGCTGGCTTCTTTGCTTGTCTTTTCGTCTGAAGATTGTGTTGTGCAATATTGACCGTGTATTTTTGAACTCAAAATAGTGTAATGAATACTAGTAATCCCAGTAGGTATAAGACTTCCATATGACGCATGAAAGAACTCGAATTTGATGTACGCTCTATGAATTTAGAACAAGTTCTTGTAACAAATTGAAACACAACGTAAATTATTTGATTGGGCAGTAAATGTATTAGTTACTCACTACAGTACTTTTGTGTTTGTAAGTGTAGATTTGTCAGTTATCTCACTTACACTTGTAGCTGTTTTGATCTATGTATAAACTTATTTAATGACTCATACAATGATTGATTTCCCTATCAATCGAAATATGACATATAATTCACTTCATTCTCATTAACTTTAGCTCTCTTCATCGGTATTTTGGATGGTGAATGCGTTCGCTTGATGTACAATAATTATCCAAAAATTTTGTTTTCCACTATTCTATATTTTGTTGGTGTTTGAACTTTCTATACAACGTGATGAGTCTAAGAATATTTACAATATTAAACTGAAATATATTTATCCGAGGTAGATCGAACTCGGGAACAAAATTAATGGGAGCAATATATGTCCACTAAACATTCAAACTATCTTCAAAAGCAAACTAACCATGTCCTCAAAACTAGAGCGCGTGCAAAATTGGAAGCTAATGAACAGGTGTACTTTAAACTACATTTGAAAAGTATACACCTGACTTGGACATGGTCTATTCAACTGTCCTCACTTCTGGCAATAACATCTAGTGTACACTTCTCACTTTCCTGAAACCAAGATGGGATTTTAGGTAGGTAGAAGTTAACAAACATCACTGCAATATTCAATGGAGGCCAACGCCTTGATCCTATAAACTCCCTATTCTTTCAGTGTCCTTCAAGACAATAGAACAACTAGTCTGTGCTAGCCTACATGATGATCTCTCACCAGTAGACCTATCTACAGCTTGACTTCGTGGTTTCCGGAAGTATTTCTTCCTCATTAGAAAGCGTATGATAGTGTCAATCATATTATTCTTAAAGAAAAACTTTAGCATACAAACATCCCTCCACCGCTTATGGACTGGTCATGTTATTTCTAAATGAATGGGAATTCAAGGTATTCATTTGAACTGTGAATCATATCCATCATGGTGATACCTATTTTAATAGCTATTAAAAGCTCGATAAAATGTTAGACAGATTTTTCATTTAAGTGTGATTATCGTCTGCAGTATAAAACATCGATTACTTTAGTCGAGAACGAATTTTATGCTTTGAAGTATCACAATTAAGTCGACCACTTTAAACAGCTTATTTAGAACCCAAACGCTATACGGTCACCTTCGACATTACTGTAATAAACTTATCCTAATCTACATATAAGAGCTGCAAGTATGGATTCCAGATATGTCTCCGTGTTTCATTAGTTGATTTTTATCTAGGTGATATCATTTCATGAAAAATACTATCATCAAATCAACAGCATCTTAACAAATCACTTCATTAAAGAATAGTCTAGTGCTAAGTGATATTGCTATTCACTATAAATTTATCTAAAGAAGATAATGAGGCTAACGTAATAGAGTTTATGCTCGTACCCAATCAATTGAATTAACTGTAAACTTACAAATGCAGACCCGATGACTGGTTTACTCCGTTCTAGACTAGCTAAGTAGTATAAATAACCCTTTTAAATAATAGGCGTGGCTCAAAAACAGATACTTTAATGTAAACTTGGTTACTGAGTTATTTTATAAAAATGATTTCTACACCATTCGCAAAAGTACTACTGAAAAGGTCTGCTATAGTTTTAGAGTCTTATATAAAATTGCCATTATGCTGGATGCATGGCATATAAACATTTTGAGTTGCTTTAGCGAGTATATTGAAAAGGAAAGTTAAGTTTTATACCTTTGAGTTAGTATTAAGTGCTAGTATTTCCTCATTAATGGCTTTTAACCTGTGCTTCTCTCTAATTTGGTCAAAAATTATTGTGATTTGTGTAGCTGCCGTGAAATTGTTTGACTTAAAATAACGTTTCTGTAGGCGTCTTAGTTCATTACGATGTTTAGCTGGTATATATAATTCGTAAGGTTTACTAAACCTGTACGTTTTAAGAGGTACACAGGAATCTAAACAAGAATTAACGATCAGACAGAATTTGTCGATAGCATTCATGAGACAATTACATAAAATAGTTGTCCCAGTCTGAAAGTTTAATCAGTGAATGCAGGAGGTTCCAGTCAGTATGCTTATAGTCTCTATATTGACAGTTTTTTTGAATGGGTCGGTTATAAGAGGAAAAGATAGGGACATCACAAATTACTATCTTATGGTCACTGCTTTCAAATTCATCGTATACTTTTACAGTTAGTGGGATAAAATCTCTACTAAATATTAGATCGAGTATACTATCGCCTCTAGTTGGGGTACGAACCCACCGTGACCAGCAGTGCATGTTATTGGTTGCCGAGAACTCATCATTACATGACTGATAACTACCGGTACTCCAGTTAATCCCAGGATGATTGAAATCCCCAGTGATAACCTTAGGATTAAAGTTTAGAGAAAATACATGTATTAATGCATCGAACTGGATGTCAAGTTTTGAAGCACACATTTAGCACAGCAAGAAAAGTCAGAAATAAAACGAGAACAATGTTGAGGAGAACCCACTAGTCAACATAGTTCTGTAAAATGTTCCAGAGATGATTCATTTGTCATCGGAGCTAGTCGCTTCGTATCCGGTTTAAAAGCGTTACCATCAACTAGGTATCCAAGACATTCAAAACTTGATACACAAAATGAACTCTTATTTTGATTCACGGTATTATTCTTCTCAATTAAACGACGCAGCAATGCAATAAGTCTTTGACCATGAGATACTTTTTCAGAACCATGAATAATAAGATCATCTCGATAAACCTTAGCATCTTTAAGACCACTGACTACATTACTCATCACTTCTTGAAATATGGCTGGAGAAGAATTGAAACCAGAAGGAAGTTGTATTTTAATGAACCAAAAGAAGTATTAATCTCTGCCAAAATAGACGAACATTTATCCGAGGAAATTTGAGTATAAACATCTTTTAAATCAGTTTTGAAGGATACTTCAGAGCAATAAAGCCGATTAAAAATATATATAACTTCCACCATGGTTCATGTTTACTTCAACTAACTTGAGTTCAGTGTTAATATATAATCAAAGCATATTCTAGGGGTCTTGCCAGCAGACTTCGAGGAGTAAAAATAAGAGTATCTCATGTTGAAGACTGAATCTGTTCAGTCATAATTTTCGCAGGCAAATCATTTAATGTCTTAAGTACTGCTTCTCGAAGACCATAGCGAGTTATTTGTCTTTTATGAAAGACTGGATCACCCTGTAGTTGTAGTTCTATAGGCTGAGTTCTCGTTTCTCCACTGCAGTTATCAAACCTCTAAGTATAGTATTACTATCTTCTTTGAAAGCATATAAATACAACTCCGCTTTGAGCTTTTTCGAATTCTCCAAACTTAGTATTAGTGGTCATTTTTCACCCACTTGAAACTAACAAGGCATGTATGAATAATTCATCTTTAATTAGCAATTCGCAGCATACTTGTATGAGGAGGTTTGAGTTCAATACTGATACTTTAATGGGTTGTACTGAAACATTAGAATCTAAAGACTTTAGGTTTTTCAAATGAAACAATAAACTCTATTGACTATCCCAACAATAAAATCATGGAATGGACCAAACGAAGTATATTTCGGCGTCTGAATGTGGAAAGTACCCTTCGAAATCGTTTATAATGATAATCTATGATCATTAGAAACAACCATACCAATAGGATCCGAACTAGAAAGCTTACTAGTGGTGAAATGAACATTTGTTCTATACACCGGCTTAATGTTTCCAATTTACCACACTTAAGGCATTTAGCATGACAAATGATGAGTTATTTGTGTGAAAACGACCACAAGATAAACATTTACCAAATATGTCCCCATCTTTGTAAACTGCTTTGCAATTCTTTGTTTAATCGTTTCTCATATTTTCATGAGAATCAAAACCATAACCAACCAAACACGAGCTTGAGAGACCTCGAGAATGTAATTTATCACGACAACTAAAAATAGTATCAGAAATCTCCCCTGACTGGAAATCAAACACATTCACTGCGTTGTAGTTAATACATTCTGTTTAAATTACCTGTAACGAACTTTTAGATTTTTGAATGGATTCTCTTTCCAACCTCGGAATATTATTTCAGTGATCAACCGATCACGAAGTTGAATTTCCAACTGGTCTCCGAAGTTTCGATTCACAGTCTGTTTCTGTAGTTCAAGTATGAAATCTTCAACTTTCTGATCATTCAGTCGCATCATTTTCCGAAATCTTGATCTCTCTCTCTCTCTTAGTTCAAGGCCAACATGCTTCACATGACTAAGAAGTAATTACTTGAGAAATTCATATGACAATAGAATTATTTTGTCTGGAAAAGCTAGATTCCTTAACGGGTTATAAGCATATTTGTCGGTGAATGTCAGCAAATAAGCTGCGAACTTACGATCTTTAATGTCTTCTTAACACGTGCACCAGATCCTAAATCTCTTCATGTAATCTTCAGAGACAGAACCAGTTAAATTAATGGCGACTGTCCAAGAACTGGGTCAATTACGACACCAATTCGATCATTAGAAATAATCGTAAAGATATGCTAACTAAGAACTAACAGAATACTGGGACGGATAGAAATTGATGAGCACAACAGAATGTATTATTTTTAGAATTGAAACTGGTAGTGAAACAAAGTACAAACGAATCATCCACTGTTATAAATACCATAAAAATCTCACCATCTATTACAAAAGCTATTTTCCATGTTTCTATTGTGTTGCCTACATGTTGGTTCATAAATATATTTTTGATGGGCACATTGTATTACTGTTTTGATACACGTTTGTTAACCTAATTGTTATTATTATTATTAATATTATTGCTATCATTACTGCTGATGTTACCACATAAAAATTCAAAATGTCAGGAAAAATTTGAAGGATAGAACAGTTTGAATGGACTCATCATGATGTCTGGCTTTTTTGAATCTCGCTGATTGATAATGAACTGTGCCAACGGTGGTTCACCTATGGATGCATAGATATGTTGTGAAAACAAGTCTAAAATTTCTCACTATTTTACTCCTCACCTGTTGACTGTGAGAAATATCATGCAATACAGTGGCATCCAATTGTGTAAGTTGATTTACATCAGGTCTACTCCAACTACAAGGTCGTTAAGTGAAACTTCATATCCACTACGTAAATATTTTGCTGATTAAATCTTCGAGATCAAAGATGATACACCCACTTTTCATTGGGCCTCCATAAGAATCCCACAAGATAAATGCCCAACAGTTGTTGTGCCATTGTTAATATGAAGCTAGAATAAATATTAATGTTGCTTACAATTGACGATGTAGATATTTCTAAATGTAATATGTACTCTGATAGTCACTGATGCACAGGTAAGTGAAGAAGAGAGGAGACTATCATGAACACGCTAAAACGTAATGCATATAATGTAAATGAAATGGAGATTTATGTATGCAGCTTCACTGATTGAAAGCAACATGAAATGAAGATAAGTTACATGTTTATCTCGTCACACTTAATGGATATGGCACTTTTAGTTTGGTAAGAAAGTCATGAGCGCATTTCTCTATCATATGGATGTGTATAAGGATGATCACTGAGTCATGTGAATGCGGAGAGTGACGTTACACACGACAATCGACTGATAATTCAAGATGATGACAAGATCGTAAATTTTATACTTGAAATCTAAAGACAAAAGCAGGAAATTTTCGTCGCAGAATTCTGTTTGCTCTTATTTAAAAAAGTGTATACCATAGATAGACAGCAGGTTCAGATACATTATATCATAAACATAATCATATTCATTGATGATGATAAACACATACCATCAATGACTCGTGCAAAGCTTTCACGGAAACACGTTTCAGTTTGTAAGAACACCATTCAAAACACAGTGCTCAAAGATTCTTCAGGTAGTGTAAATGTATTGTGTGAGTGATGTGAATAGAGAAATACAGAAAAAAAAGACGAACAACGGTAACCATTTTTGTAAACAATGTTTCACTGAATTCAAACACCGTATAATACTAACATTTGATTTTATCGCTCTATTCCATAAATGAAAAGCTATTGTTTGGTGTACTATTTACTCCCATAGTCTTTTGCATTATAAATTATTGTAATTTAAAGGCAACATTTTCTACTCAAAATTTCTAATGTCATGCATAGTTTCGACGAAATTGTAATATTCTATTTCATTATGCGTTATGGTCACTCATTCACACATTTGTTTTAAAGTAAATTTCAGTCAGGAATGAATCAAGTGGTGCTCCAGTCGGCTCGCTTTCTCTCTCTGTCTCTTTCCTACTTGCCAGCCAATGAGGTGATAAGATGATATCCCTCTCTCTGACCACGAAACCGTTTAGCCACAAATTGAACTCATACATCTATACCCTCAAAGTTGGACTAGTTAGCTTATCGTGTCAAAGCCTCAGACTAGATCGAGATAAGTTTTCACCTGAACGTTATTGTGCAGACGGAACAAGGAAATAACAGTGGGCAACAATGTTGGTGTGCATTGTGTCGCATCAACAATAGATTATGTTCATAAAAAAATATACCTCTGAAACGACATCTATACAACATACTGGAAACACGAAAAATTACTTTCGCGGCAAGTGACAATGAATGAATCGGATTGCAAACCCATTTCTTGAGACCATCGAAATTCCTATACAATACACACTGAATAAGACAAACAAGCAAACATCGCATTCTGTCAATCAATCCGTCAATTGATTTCACTGAATGTTTCACTCAATCAAAGTGACATGACACTTTCTACCACCAATCAAACATCACAATGTCATTAACGATTTGTTGAAGACCAGGATTCAATTGGTTGACCGACAAATAGACAACTCCACAAACGTATAAATTCTAGTCCACAACTCACTGGAACATCAGAAATCACCGAACGTACAAATGCAAAGAACATTGGTGAGGCATTCATTCGTCTAACCAACCAAAACTCTCTCTCTTTCTCTCTCTCCCACACACAGGTGACAGTATTGATATTCGCCTTCGTTGTGAACTATCTGGATGTGGTGAATTGTGATGGAGGTGAGTTTCACACCAACAGACATGGACCACTTTCACTCACTCACTCACTCACTCACTCACTCACTCACTCACTCACTCACTCACTCAATCACTCACTCACTCATTCATTCATTCATCCGACTAGTCATTCATCAAACTATTCATCCATTTATCCCTCCATTTGTCCATCCATCACTCCGATGATTCATTCATCCATTCATTCACCATTTCATTCATTCATTCATTCATTCACTGAATCACTCACTCACTCACTTGCTCACCTACTTACTTAATTACTCTGTAAGTTGTTCCGACAACAGTGCAATCGATCACAGCCAACTCACACAATTCAAACCATGTGCGTCGGAGCATCGAGCATCAGTGTATTTCGCAGCTGACAATCGTACGAACGTTCTGTCACTCACCTCATGAGAACATTCGCCTCAATGCTCACGTTCCCTGTCATTATTGACAACCAAGTCAGTCAGATAGGCAGTTGGTCAGTTAGGCAGTTAGTCAGTTAGGTAATGAGTGGTACCGATCAAGTCAGTCGTCGATTTGCACACACCTGGTGGAGACGCGAACTGAATCAGACTGCTGCAATTGAAATTAACTTAACTTAACTTAAACCGACAACACATTGTTTCGTTACTGTTTTTCAATGCAGATGGCGCACCCTCAGCTCCAGTCAAATCACCTGATCAGCAACCAGCTGCACCAGCCGCATCGGATTCACCTGCAGCACCAGACAAACCAGCAGCAGCTTCAGCGAAACCAGGTCAGTCCATTCACTCTCTTCACTAATGATGTGCATTGAATTTTGTGTTGGAATGTTTTTCCTATGTGCATCACTCGAATTGTGTGTTTCCGTGTTCAGACTGTGAACAGTGCATATGTGTACTCTGATTTTACTCCACAGATTCGCCTGCCACCACCAAGTCAACCGCACGTCCGAAACCATCGAAGAGAGCACAGAGACCAGCCTACCCACCCAGATCACCAGCACGTGTTCGTAGTAAGTCAACACTACACCAACCACTTCTATTCCTTATCTCCGTTTATTTCAACAATCTTGACCATTACGACACACCAGTCATTCCTCCGAACACACTTACACACACACACACGCATGTGCACATACACACATTCGCCGACACATTCACTCACTCTACAGCCAGATTACATACTCAATCAATCACCCAGTCGCTCACTAACTTTTACTACACCATCAGTCCTCACACTTACCCGTTGAATGCTATCACACATTTGTTCCATGTCACACAAACAACCATTCACTAACTCACGCACCCACCCACTCACTCACCCACTCACTCCACTACAATTGCCACGTAATCTACCGAGTTTGTGACTGACCAACATCCTCTGTTTCACTTGTTTTCAGGTCCTCGCGCTCCAACACATCCGAGAAAATACTAACGTCCACAACGAGGTAAGTCTGCCAACAAACACCCATCACTCTCCACTCTAATATCAAACATCTGATAACTGATTGGAGAATTCACTGTCTTGTGGGTGTGTGATTGAGTGACTGAGTAAATGAATGAATGTGTGTGTGCGTGTGTTCACTGACTGTCACCAATCCATCCCACCACTCGTGCAGATTGTTGTCCTATGTGGCGATGTATGTGGTGCTTATTCCTGTTGGGTCACCGTCTCGATTCTCTATGTGCTGTGAGGAGTGCATTGGGAAGTGTCAGCTGGTCGTTCATCTCATCAATTTCAAACACTCTCGTTTGGAACACTTCACCAATCGCTCATTCATCCATTTATTTATTAATTAATTAATTTATTTATTCAGTCAGTCGGTCGATCAGTCAGTCAGTCATTAGACCGACTAACTAGTGTTTTCACTCACCCATATTTACTTACATACTTCTACTTACAGTCAGTATGTTAAATCAGCTCCTCTTCAACCTTCTCATCATGTTTGTGTTCATTTCATTTACCTTTTAGATGGTAGAAAATCGGTACAGGTATGAGTTGAACGCAGCCAATGTGTTCAACGACAATTCCCTCACTTTTACATATATGTAAAGAATGATAACCGAATAAAATGTTAGAATTCAAAACTTGTCTTTTTTGCGTTAGATTGCTTCTTGCTTGCCTTTTCGTCTGAATGTTGCGTTAAAGAAAACATTTTGCCACTTTCTTATATCTACTTCTCATTCCACTATGCTATTGGCGTGTATTATCTGTTGACTCATTTTATCTGAATACCATTGTCATGATTATATCACAGTTTCTGTCTGTGATCGTTAATCGATCTTATTCTACACTTTACATATCGTACTGATTTCGAACTTCTTATTCCTTCTTCGTAAAATTAATCGCCTGCTCGCTATTATTTTTTTAAAATAATTATTTCAAACATTAATGAGTTATGTCGAATATAAAGATTCCATCGTTTGTTCTCAAGTTTTTTTTTTCATTTCTTTGAATCTGAATTCAACTTTTAATGATGAATAATTATCTCCATGACAAATTACTCAATAAATTATTTTGTGATTATTTATTTATGTCCACTACTTTATTCTAAATAAAATCAATCAAGGGAACATTAAATATACTTAGTATTACCTGATATAAATTGTAAGTTATATTAACTGAATGTTAGAAAGATCTAATTGAAATAATTCATTAAACTCAATTGATTGACATAATTCAATGTCTATAGAAAACAAAACATCTATTTATAATAAGTTTTCTGAAAGATTTTATTGTCTTCTTCTTCTTCTTCATTAATTTAGAATGTTTCATTTTAATAATTATGCTTCCCTACCTATTATTAATTATAATTTATTCTATAAACATTCATTAGTAAGTTAGTAATTAAGTGGCACTTATTCTCGAAACCATACATTAAAAAATTATTAACATATTATCTGAATTTGGTAGATGAATTCAGTGGATGCGCACTGCTGAGGAGTCCCATACTAGGACGAAATGGTCGTCCAGTGCTTCCAGGTTTTCCATGGTGGTCTAGCTTCAATTGACTTATGATTTCAATCTGTGAAATTTCTAATATCTCCAAAAACCCCTTCTGAAAATATATATATCTTTCTCAAATGATTATAATTGATTTGGCATGTTGTAGATCTCATGCAATTGGTTCCCTTTATGAATTTAAATAGTGATCATCAAACAATTGTAGTATTCCATACATCACGATCAACATTTTAATTTTTTTCTTTCTTCTGAGGTAAAACTGATCCATTTAAATAGTAAATAATTTATATTATCTCCTGTTGTCACTGTATTTACTTGCCGTACTGTTGTAGCATACAGTAGCAACTATGATGTCTGACAGCTATATCGAATTATATAGGTTTAAATCTCTGTGAGATTATCAGTATCCTTACGATTGAAAAAATACTTTGTTCATTTTTACAAACTAATAACAAATCGATGTTCAATACTTCTTATTAATCACCAAATGCATAAAAATAGAACTACAATATCAGTTCACTTAGGTTAGTTGTTAAACTTAATCAACATTGAAAACATAACATTTGTTGTTAATTGATTGGTGACTGGTATAAACGCATTACTCCTTAGTAATTCATATGTCAGATAAAATACATGAAAAAGATGTGATATTTGACTCTGTCATTCAAACAAAGCCTCAAAGTTTTGGTGATATCCTTCTGTTTAACTTCTTTTTGTTATTAACAGTCATTTTGTTGGTACATTCCTTAATTGTCGCATCGTCAAGCCCAAATTGTTAGTGACATTGATTATAATGACTAAAAGCAATCAGTGAAAGATTTTAACTTAGGTTTCCTATTTATTGGTCTCTGTAATATCATGAATGCTTATCGTCTAGAAGAAATTCAAAAACAAGTCAGGAAAGATCCTTAATTGGTCGTTTTATAAATAAACTTTTTAATGTCAATCAGAAAAAAACTAAGAACGAAACTTTCATAGAGTTTGAAAAACTATGTGAACGAACTGATAACAGTCAAGTAACAATTTTACCTGTCTTGGCAAAAACTATCACTCAAAAGTATCGCTATAATGAATCTAGATTTCATGGTGTATTACATTAAATAGAAAACCATTTCAATGACCAGATAATTACTGAAACTAATGATGCAATCATATCACTGAACATTTATTCAATTCAAGTGATTTCATCATAAAGATTATTAAATTTCGTAATTACACTACTAGCAAATTTGACAGTAGCTGATTAAAAAGCGTTTCAACCTTTCACATGTAATTATGATCAAACTTGGAAGGTTTTATTAATATCTTATTCATTCATCATTAAAAAATCTAGCACCAGGACTGAAATTTTCACTGATGGCAGCCGTTTATTTATATTTCATTAGATTATTCATCTTTTATACAATCATTAACTTCACCGGGAGGCTATCTAGGGTTACTTGTTATTCCAAGTTCTGACAAAGGTAGATGGGTGGGTATAGGGTTATTCACCTATTTCATAAAATAGGGATTTCATTCAATCATCCCTACTTACTTACTCCTGTTACTCCTGTTGAGGGAGCATATGCCACCCACCAGCACTCTCCATCCAACTCTGTCTTGGGCAATCCTTTCCAGTTCTTTCCAGTTACTATTCATTCTTTTCATGTTTGCTTCCAATTCCTGACATAGTATGTTCTTCGGCATCCTTCTTCTCCGTTTCCCTTCAAGATTCCAGGTAAGTGCTTGTCTCATAATCCGGTTTAGTGATTTCCACAACGTATATCTTATCCACTTCCAACATCTTTTCCTAATTTCCTCCTCAGCTGCAATCTTGTCTGTTCTCTCCCACAGTAAGTTGTTGTTGATGGTTTCCGGCCAACGGACATTCAGTATCTTGCGTAGAAAACTGTTTACAAATACTTGTAGTAGTTTTCCGAGTTTCAACTTCATATAGTAGGACTATCTTGACGTTTGTATTTAGAACTTTCCGTGGTACCGATAGTAGTGTGATGACTCTGAAGTTTTCATATTCGCCAGGTCATCTGCAAAGTTCAAATTGTCTTGATGCATCTAACCTGTCCATCTTATTCCACGCTCACCCTTCGATGTCGAGGTCTTCGTAATCCAGTCAACAACCAGAAGAAATAATAAGGGAGAGAGTAAGCAGCCTTGTCTGACTCCGGTCTTCACTTGAAACGCATCTTTGAGCTGTCTTCCATGTATGACTTTGCAGTGTAGTGTATGAATTGGGTATAATGTTTACGGTCTTCTCAGGTACACCATAGTGCCGAAGAAGCTTCCATAAATTCCTCCTATCGACACCGTCAAATGATTTCTTATAATCAAGGAAGTTGATGTACATTGACGAGTTTCATCCAACTGATTGTTTAACGATGATCCGTAAGGTCGCGATTTGATCTGTGCACTGGTTATTATAGCCATCATGAGCACACTTCATGTTGATTTTTTCCCCTATTTTATTACATTTATTCATGAATTTATATAATTCTCACTTATTCAGTCCATTAGGGATATTAAACATTGACTGAATCCAATCAGCCAATGAATATAATCGATTTCTTCATGTATAGTTATGTGTGTTTTGTAGTGAATACACTTCAGCTTACTTTGCCGTGGGTTTTAACGAATTATTTGGCTGTTTTGACTCAGTAGCTTAGTAGATACTGCATTGAATAATTGGAGAAAAAGGTACTAGATAGATTCCAGTTCTGGTATAAACATCAGCATTAGTGCAGATTCATTCAGTTGAGCAGTGTCAAACAGAATGAAACGCGTCTTTTAGATTCTAGTGCTAGTCACTATCAAACTTTGCTTAGAAGTACTTGTAACTGAGTGGTATTATCGAGGTAGTCCACTCGACATTGACGTATGCCGAAATAGACTGACCACTTATAGACTTTATATCAGTGACGGTAAGGTTAAAACAGCCCTTACGGATTATTATTTGAATTATCTAAACTTATTTTTATATATCATGGATGTTAGACAAACAACTATCAAGAAACAAGGAACATTTGATGACTGCTTCATTCTGCCCCAGAACTCCATGGTAATATGATTCCATAATATCACCAGGGATCAAATTCAAAACCATTAGGTCTTAAACTCATAACGATTTTTTTGGACAAGTAAGTTGGCATCGATTGATCCATGCTTCTAATTTCAGTCACACAACGATAGTGTATGACTGTCTCAATTGCTTTCAAGATTTTAGTAGATGTCGATGGTGTCAACGATCCTTACGTCGAACAGTCGCACCAAACTTCACTTCCTCATGTATACGTAGATAGATAAACAGATGAAATGATTTATTTGAGAATTTTCCCTTGATTTATATCCATCATCGTATGCTGACAGAGAGAGAGAGACAGTAAAAAAAATAAAAAGAGAATCAAAACATCCATATGTTAATGAATTGATTATCTTTGAATAATAATTCTCCATCGATCACATGAAATTGTCATAGTTATCGCAAAACTTATGAAGTGATTTTCTGTGTTCCTATTTATTTTCCTTTTTAGTTTCCCATTTTCTGTTTAACTTTTCATTCACATACGTGAACATATGAATGAATATACATACACACACAACATACTTACATACATACATACACTTATTCTGTACTACCGTTTTCTGCTTTGAATTTGTAACTTTTCAATTGACACATACAAACACAAATAAAATAAAGTGACAGAAGGATAATGATTGTACTATGAATCAATTTGAATAGTTACTCTATAAATAGAATATAACTAACATTCATATTATTAACATCATAAATACCATGATAATTTGAGTTAATTGTATTACATAAATTACTTGGTATTAAAAGTGTGAACCGTTGAATATGGATGAAATCTATGATTAAGGAAACAGAATATTTCTAGAGTTTTGAAATTAGGATGAAATAGTCATTACTAATAGTTTATAAGTTAATTAGTATAAATTCATGGTAATATAATAATAATAATAATAATAATAATAATAATAATAATAATAATAATAATAATAATAAAACAACCTAGAAAAAAGACTACTTACAACATTAAATTAAGTAGTTCATTAGAGTAAGTAAATAATCATTTTTGGTTATTGTAACCAAACTTTAGTGATGTATAGCTGAATTGAATTAATTGAATTAATTTAATGACTAATTCTTCAATTTATTACATTTATAGTAAAAGAGAATAGTGTTGAAACTGTTTAACTGTCAGTTAAATGATATGAAGGTTTTCATTTTAAGTCAATAAATTCATTTTTTTTCTTTCAAATCTATGGTCTCCTTCCAATCAGTCAATTTCATTTTTACAATGACATATTGCTATATCCGAGCGACGATTAAATCACGAGTAACTTCTGAGACATATTAATCGACTAATTTTATCTATATATTCTTATGGTGTAACTATTCAATAATCAGATTATGTATATTTATATTCCTCTTATTACAAGCCTTACTTTGACCGATAATTTATTAATGTACGATTTACTGTTCGTAATCTACGTTCAGTTTATTGACTACTGTCTCCCACGTTCACAGCCACTTCTTGGTTTTATTGTGTACAAATGTTATTTCCTATTTTATGGTGCGCTGAGATCTGTTTGATTGATATATAAACCCAGTATGTCTGAAATAAACGATTCAATTCGCATAGTGGGACCTGATACTGGTGTTCTGGACTTAAATGGACGGTCTAGGCGGACATAGGACCAATAAGGACGCTAGGCTTTCTATACCGGACGAACGTCATTGATTTAGCACAGTGCTAAGATTGTATAAGTCTTATTTTGATTGGTGGATAAATCACGTGACAACTAGCCGGACATAAAGTCATAACATATATATATATATATATATATATATATATATATATATATATATATATATATATATTACTGTCTGTCTTCAAAAGTGAATAAACTACGTTGGTTCTGATCAGTAAAGAATCTTAAAATTACTTATGGAGTTCACACAAATCAGGAGTGAAATAGTTGTCACTAGCGAAACTTACTAGTCATTGATTTATGTTTCAAAGTGAGTGAAGGTAACACTGCACCACTGAACCTCGATCCTGTGATTATAATGGTTAGGCTTTCAACCCAAGACATGAAAGCTTTGAGTTCTATCCTGATGCAATTGTCTGTACGGATTGTTGACGAATCTCATTTTAAGAATAAATAGCTTTCTAGTTCCTTTTAATTTTTGCTGGTGTCCAGCTCAGATTTCTCTGTAGTAAATTCAACCGATGTATATTATTAGCGCTGATTTTCCAGGGCCTGGAAACCAATCAATCAGGCAGTGGCTAAAACTCTGTTCATGAATGCTTTTTAATTCCCGGTAATTCGTTATTTAATGTCATACCATGATGAAAGTTGTACCTTAAAACTCAGCACTCTTCATTAAAGAAACCAATCGTAGTAAAAATCAGCTTTAAACAATTAATTAGGTGCTATAAGAGAGCATGAAAAAATGGTATCTCTAAACCTCTGATCACGGATCCTACAGGTCATAATTTCTTACCAGGACTTTTGGAAATTTATTTCAAGTCTACACACCAGCAAACTTAAGAATAAACACATAAATATGATCTTGTGCAAAATTTTGTACAGTTTAAAAGTAATAGTTCGCATGAAATGATGCATGTTCATTCGATTTTTGTTAAATAATGAAGATTAAGAAATTCGTTTTCATTGTCAACTTTTGCTGAATAATGATATTATTATAACAGTAATGACAATAATAATAATAATAATAATAATAATAATAATAATATAGTCGTAATTCTGTGATACACATTGAATAATCATAGAAATCACCCTATATTGACTTGGTTTTCTATTGATTTCAACTAAACATGATTATTTAGCCTGTAAACTTAGGTTGATTGATCAAAATTCCAGTTGTATTTATCTATGTATTCAATTTATTAATTGATTACATAAACAGTTGCATATATGAATATTATTTCCGGAATAAATGCATACAACAGATGCCGAATCCTAGTAAAACTTTCTAACTGAAGTACAAAAAAACATGATATAACTGGTGATAATGTCAGATAGTAATGTAATTCTTGAAGAGTTTTTATCCTATTTATTATTGTTACTATCATTATCATTATTAATATTGTCTGAATCGTACCGACTGGACAAATAAAAAAACATTCATGTGTGCATGTTTTCTTAGGAGAGAAAGAGATAGTGAAATCGGCAGAGTGGTAAAATGATTTTTAAGGAAAATCAAGTAAAAATAATATAACCGTGTAGAGAAAAAGAACGTTACACAGTGTTACGAGATGAAAAATACAATAAAAATGAGTACGAAGGAAAAAAATTACAAAATCAATTACAGTAGTTAGATTCATGAGTTGATCTAAGCTAGACAATATTTAGAAACCTGGAAGCAATGGATAGCCGGGACTCTTCAGTAGTGCACACCAATGATCTCCTATGTTGGAATTGAACTCAGGACCTTCGGTCTCACGTGAGAACACTCAACCTATAGACCACTGAGTAGGCATCTGGTGTTAATGTCTAACTTCAAACGATCCACGATCTCGACAGAGCCTGCGCGCTAGCTCGAAGATTCTACATTCAAGTCTCGCCTGAAGGATCATGGATGCGCACTGCTGAGGAGTGCCATACTAGAACAAGATGGTCGTCCAGTGCTTCCAGGTTTTCAATGGTTATCTAGCTTGGATCGACACATGAATTCAAACGTTAAAATTAGTAAAATCTCCATAAACACGCATTCTGACAAAAATCAGCTATGTTTGAATCAATCCAATCAACAGAACCTACATAAATTTATTCCAATATGCTTTTTCATATCGAAGACAATCAATGGCAATACTACTCACCGTTGACTGAATGCTTAAAAATTACTTAGCTTACATTAAATTTGAAGTTTTTGAAGTGAATGGAAGCAGTCGATAGGAAGCTGTGGACCTCAGTTTTCGTACTTACTGGTGTTCTTTGGTAACGAGTTTTAGGGAATAGATTTACTTTTTCGAGTTTGTCCCTGTGCCACACAGTGATACAGAAATGTTACCACAGTTATTACGGTCATGACAGGCCTCCTGTAGAAATGAGATATTTACAATAATTGATGAGTTAGTAAGCTTATCAATACCCTCTTCACTTAACCATTGACGATGCTACATCGATTTATTTACGCTGATAGACACGTTTTTTATCTTTAAAATTCCACCAGGAATTTATCAATTAACATTTGAGGTATTACTCAATATCATATTTAGTAATTACGATGGTGACTGTGTTCTTGTTGTTACCATAAACATTTACACGTTAAAAAATAAAGACGTACTGAATGTTAACTCACTGTCGGTGAAAATAATGTGTAATTCAGTACGTTGATATAAATATATATGCGCCAATAAATAAGCTATTTCGAAAATAATAATACTAAGTGAATATTCACCTCCATAATGTCAAAATACACAGTTTGCCTGACATTAGAATTTCCACACAAAGTAGTCCCTCTAAATATGGGCAAGTCTTAAAAGGGAAATGATGTTCAAACATAATGTCGACACTCAATCATCATCTTGAAAATTTTATCTGAGTATCCAATATTTTCGGTTTAGTTTCCATAATATATCTCTATCAATCAAATTTATATGTCAATTCATTTCTGGCACCATTCACACAATCTACAAATTCATCTCTAGTCGTAATAATAACTGGTCAAATAGAAAAATGATCTTTAAATGCTCAAACAAATATTTCATTATCTATCAGTCACCATTCATTACTTACTACCGAACCACGTATGTTCATTAGAAGGTGAGATTCTTTTACATTTGATAAAAATATTCAAAAAATTTATGACTATTTACTTTATGGTTTTATATCATTCAAACTCTGAATATAACATACAGTATAGTGAATATAGAGAATACTGAATTTTAACTCAAAAAGGTTTTCACTCATTCAAATTTGATGCTAATCTATCGTTATATTTTTATGAAAATCTCTATTAAGTTAAGCTTTTTTTTATTAAGATCATATTTCAGCAATATCATGCATTAGTTATCATAAGCATTACTAGTTAAATATTGTTATTTTAAAGAATCTAAAGTAAATCACTTTGCTCAATATTTTACATTAAAAAACGGACTTTATTCGTATAATTTTATCACATTGAAAGTCGAACTGTGCATATATTACCAATAACAACAAAGTGATTTATGCAAATTTAAACATTTAAATTTTAAGGCAATCACTGATCATAGTCAGTGTATTTGTTCTGACAGATGTACTATTAACTATCTGAGCTCAGTAGCTCAGTGAATAATGTGTTCAGTATTTGAAGTAAAATATAGGGAGTTCGAGCCCGAGGTTGAACATTTACACTTGAATGTAAGTAAATCCGGTTCACAAATCCCATATATGATGGAATAAGAGTCATGGATTCCCCTGCTAGCCATATTTCATCTATTCTATAAAACGTTTATCGATTAATTTCACTGGTCGGGATCGTGGATACACACTGCTGAGGAGTCCTACAATAGGACGAAACGGCCGTTGAGTGCTTCCGGAATTTCCAATAGTGGTTTAGTTTCAATTAACTCATGGTCTTAACTATTAAAAATTACCATAATATTCACAAAATTCCTTTCTGATTTTCATAGAATTTTATTCTCTGAGCTGTATGGTTTGGTCGTGGAGCTTTCATAGTTCTTTTGAACGACATCATCAGTAAAACACTTCAAATAGAAGCTCCATGACCAAACCATCCAGATCAAAGAACAAAACTCTATCAAAATCATTCAACTAAGCTACAAATCTTCTCCACTCCTTTCTGATATTAATTAGTTTTCTTTTTTGTTTATTTAAACATGAAAATCGGAATTATTTATTAAGAATGTTATCACAAGATGTCTGATATATTTCACAAGGTCATAAATGTAATCTGACCTGTGTACATTTTTTTGGTTTGCTGTTATCTCATAAATCTCATAAATCACGTTTTTCAAACAAACAAACAAACAAACAAAAATTTCTTTAAATTATAATTTCAACTGTTTAAAATATTTTCATAAATATAAAATTACGTATATTTAACAGTGTGAACAATTTATTTAGTAATTGTTTATCATCTGTTCAAAATTAGACAACACATAGTAACTAACTAAACTAACTGACTGATTGACTGACTGACTGATTACTGTTTTGTATTTGTATATTAGTGGACTGGATATTAACTAAGGAATAAATATATCATTTTTGGCATAAAAAATTGGGTAGTCGGTATATATATATAATTTCAAATAGGAGTGAACTAGAGAGAATATTTAAAAAATAATAATAATAAAAATCCTAATACTACTTATATAAACAAAGGAACTGAATAAAATGGTTATGTTGTAACAAAATGAAACATATGTAAATGAGTGAAACAAAGAATACATAAATTCACTTGATATTGTTTTAATTGAATCTTCTCATTGATGTTTAGGACTACAATTGATCAGTTTCTTGTTGACATATGTGCATACTGTGTGTATGGCCTCGATATTGCCGTAATTAACAATCATTATAAGCAAAGATGGATAGCGGTTAGCAATTTAAACTTTACCCCATTGCACAAACAAGTAGCTATCAGAACTTAGTAGCTAAGTGAATAACGCGATTGCGTTTGAAGCGAACGGTACTGAGTTTGAGTCCCAGAGTGAACATCAACTCTGAGATGCAGGTACATCTAGATGATCAGTCCCAAATAGGATGAAACCCGCATCCTGGATTCCATTGCTGGTCACTATTTATCAAAGAATATTTGAATTGAAATAAATGTATCTGAACTACTGAACCATTGATATTTAAATTAACCTTTATAAAGGAATTAGAAGATAGATTTCCACTTTCCCTAAAGAAAATTATCATATATACTTGTGGGTCTAATCTGGTCTATGGTTTTATCGTCCTCTAATCATTATGAATATTGAATGATGCGATTGTTGGATCATGAGATGTATATTCATGTAAGATGATTTGTCCAGTATACAGTATACACCTGGTCTCAATAATTCTTTCATAAAGAATGTAACAAATTTGAGATGGTGGAGAAGATTTGTAGCTCAGGTGGATGATTTTGGTGGAATTTTGTTCTCTGAGCTGGATGGTTTGGTCGTGGAGCTTTCATCGTTCTTCTGAACGATATCATCAGCACAAACTTCAGATAGAAGTGAAGTATTCGAACTTCTCCATACGTGATTCACAGCTTGTTCTGTGCTAAGATAGCAACAACCCAAGAGATTACAAAATCAATTGCGTACACAATTTGTTCAAGAGGGCGAGGACACACTGCAGCACACGGGCAGCACGAAGAAATGAAGAGAAATACCTGAAAGATGTATTTCAAAAGAACGGCTACACAATCAACTTCATCAAAAAATACCAACCGCACGCAGCATCAGAACTCAAGTCAAGCACAAAAATCAACAAAAGGATCACCCTACCATATATACAAGTGCTTACAGTGCTTACAGGTTTTCCATCGTGGTCTAGCTTTAATTGACTCATGAGCTCAACTATTGAAAATAAATAATTATTTGACTAATAGTATATTCAAAGTCTGTTTATCATTTTTCCATATATTACTATTTTAACTGAGATTTTTTAAATATTTTTGACTCAAAAATACAATTGTTGTAACTCCGAATATTCTATAATTAAACACTTATTGGTTTCCAATTGGGATATTATTTATTGATTGACCTTGACATTCCTTAAACAAACAAAAAAAAGAAAGAGATGTTATTTTGGACAGTCTAACATTTGAAATTCCATAATCATCTAAATTCATTACTGAAACTCAGATAATCACATGAATATGTATGCAAATATAATCATATTGGTTTAAATTAACATATGAGAGAGCGAGTACATACACATTACCAGACATATGTACTAACATTAAGCAAGCATTTCATTAAACATTGACAAGATAAAATGTTTATAATGCATGTACATAATACAGTTATGGAAACTTGAAATTTCCACCGGTTAGACAATGAGAATCAAAAAGAAGAAATATTGAAAATCATGAGGATAGAATGTTAATTCACGTACTAATCAGTTTAAATATTAAAAAAAAAATACACATTCAAAAACTGTATAAATATACATAGAACTATTTATTTGTCTACTATCTGGGATAGAATTGTAAAACTTTTTTTCTGCTATCCACTGAAAATAAGAAGGAAAAAATGAGAGAACTTTACAAAATTTCAAATAATACTCAATATAGTTAGTTGTATATGATTCTTACTTTGTGGTCTATCAAAAGCCTTGCCAACCAATAGTTGAGCTTAATTGTAACTTACAATTTTTATAAAATAACTCAGTAACCAAGTTTACATTAAAGTATCTGTCTTTGAGCCACGCCTATTATTTAAAAGGGTTATTTATACTACTTAACTAGTCTAGAACGGAGTAAACCAGTCATCGGGTATGCATTTGTAAGTTTACAGTTAATTCAATTCATTGGGTACGAGCATAAACTCTATTAGGTTAGCCTCATTATCTTCTTTAGATAAATTTATAGTGAATAGCAATATCACTTAGCACTAGACTATTCTTTAATGAAGTGATTTGTTAAGATGATGTTGATTTGATGATAGTATTTTTCATGAAATGATATCACCTAGATAAAAATCAACTAATGCAACACGGAGACATATCTGGAATCCATACTTGCAGCTCTTATATGTAGATTAGGATAAGTTTATTACAGTAATGTCGAAGGTGACCGTATAGCGTTTGGGTTCTAAATAAGCTGTTTAAAGTGGTCGACTTAATTGTGATACTTCAAAGCATAAAATTCGTTCTCGACTAAAGTAATCGATGTTTTATACTGCAGACGATAATCACACTTAAATGAAAAATCTGTCTAACATTTTATCGAGCTTTTAATAGCTATTAAAATAGGTATCACCATGATGGATATGATTCACAGTTCAAATGAATACCTTGAATTCCCATTCATTTAGAAATAACATGACCAGTCCATAAGCGGTGGAGGGATGTTTGTATGCTAAAGTTTTTCTTTAAGAATAATATGATTGACACTATCATACGCTTTCTAATGAGGAAGAAATACTTCCGGAAACCACGAAGTCAAGCTGTAGATAGGTCTACTGGTGAGAGATCATCATGTAGGCTAGCACAGACTAGTTGTTCTATTGTCTTGAAGGACACTGAAAGAATAGGGA